AGTACGAGCAGGAGATCCTCACACGCTGGAATGTCAAGGAAGCCTCAACCTTCCCGAACTTCAAGGTCAGTGAGACCGACATGGAACCGCCAGATTCAGTGGACAAGGTGCAGATTCGCGAAGCACAAGCTCTTGCAGGGTCCCTTTTGTGGCTTTCAACCAGGTCACGGCCAGATTTGGCCTATGGTGTGGCGGCCCTCAGTCGGTTGGTGACTCGCAACCCTGCAAAGGCCATCGAAATCGGCCAGTCCTTGCTCGCCTATGTGAAGGGCACTCCTGGCGACTTGCACTATCCCCAGAAGATCAAGAAGAAATGGGGGTCAAGGGATCAGCTCAAGATCCAACGGCATGAAGGCCTACTGGAGGTGTTCGCCGACATAGCGTACGGCACTGGCTCCAATCACCGAAGCGTGCAAGGGCTAGTGATTTGTTTCGCTGGAGCTCCTGTGGCATGGCAAAGTGCCACCCAACCGTTTGTGACCCACAGCACAGCTGAAGCAGAGTTGGTTTCCTACTGTGAAGCTCTATGCACAGGTCGTGCAACGGAAGCCTTGCTGTGCGCCATGTGGGGGGAGCCGCTGGACAATTCGAATATCTTCGAGCGGGTCATCTATGGTGACAATGCCGCAGCCATCAGCCTCGCCTACGGCAATAGTGCTACATCCTGGAGGACCCGACATTTGCGTGTGAGGTCCAACATCTTAAAGGAGGCACTTGATGAGCAGGGCTCGTATCCAGGTGGCTGTTGGAAGCTGGCCCATCTTCGTGGCACTGAGCTTGTGGCCGATGGCATGACAAAGCCGCTCCTTGGCCAGAGTTTCGCAGGTTTTCTTGGTGATTTGGGTTTGAAGCCTCCGGAAGTGAAAGTGGCCAGCCTGAAGCTTGGTCAAAACGCCCCTCCTGCACCAGACCATCAGTTGGCTGTGAGAGCAATTGTGGCTGGGAGCGCCTTGGTTCGTGCAGCTGAAGCTGGAGGAAGTCAGGACTCCGATGCAGTTTTTGGAGGTTTGATGTTGTGTGGCATAGTGCTAGTGCTCATTGGGGCAATCTGGGTGGCGAAGGCGGCTGTGAGTTCTGTTGGTTGTTGCCTACGCCGATTGCATGGAGTCACTGGTGAGCCACCCAGTTCATCGGACCTGCCTGAAGCTGATGAAGGGGCCCATACTACTTCCTTGCGATCCAGGCGGGCACGTTCGTGGGGGAGGGCAGACCAGGACAAGGGGGTTGAAGCCACCGAGACGGAGGAGGAGACGGAGGAGGAAGCTCAAGCCATTCGAAGAAGGCGAGCTGCAAGGCCAAATGTTGGCGATGATCGTGATGATCGAGAAGGAAGGACTCCTATGACACGGAGAAGGTCTACGTCCAAGTCATCTAGGCGGCGATCGGGCTCGCACCACGGCACTTCATCGCGGACGATGAGAAGGAGATCGAATGAAAGCGACTCAGCCGAGTTGCAGGCAGCCAGCGAGGCTGCTGATGATGCCGTGCAAGCTGCAAGCCAGGCAGCGGAAGGTGCTGAGCGCGCCGCGGTGAGTGCACAGCAAGCCGCCGCCGCGGCCAGTCAAGCTGCGCTGAATGCTGAAGCGGCCACTTCCATGCTTCAGTGTGCGCTGATGGCCAAGTCGAAGGCCTCACCGACGGTCCGGCCGATCCAGAGGACCAATGAAGATGAGCCGGCCAACCCGTGGAACCGATTCCAGCGGCAAAATGCCAATAAGGGCTGGAGTTTGGAAAAAACACGCGCTGAATACGACCGTGCCAAGAGCATGAACCTTTTGCCTTGAGCCTCAGTTTTCGGTGTCCCAGGATCTCGTAAAGCACGAGAGGGGGAGTCCGTTCGGTGAGAACATCGAACATGTCAACACGACTTCAGGCATTTGTGTTCGAAGAAAAGGGCGCGTTGTCTTTGTTAACGAGCTGGGAATTGGTTTCTGGCAAGCGGTTTCTGGCAAGTGGTTTCTGGGAAGTGGTTTCTGGGAAGTGGTTTCTGGGAAGTGGTTTCTGGGAAGTGGTTTCTGGGGGCTGGTTTCTGGCGAGTGGTTTCTGGGGGCTGGTTTCTGGGAAGTGGTTTCCGGGGGCTGGTTTCTGGGGGCTTGTTTGCTGGGAAGTGGCTTCTGGGAAGTGTTTTCCGGGAAGTGGTTGCTGGGGGCTGGTTTCTGGGCAATGGTTTCTGGGAAGTATTTTCTGGGAAGTGGTTTCAGGGAAGCGGTTTCTGGCGAGTGGTTTCTGGGTGCTGGTTTCTGGGAATTGGTTTCTGGGAAGTGGTTTCTGGGAAGTGGTTTCTGGGCAGTGGATTTTGGGAAGTGGCTTGTGGGAAGTGGTTTCTGGGAAGTGGTTTCTGGAGACTGGTTTCTGGCGACTGGTTTCTGGGAAGTGGTTTCTGGGGACTGGTTTCTGAGAAGCGTTCTTTTTTTGAGGGGGTGGTGGTGAAGGCCTAAGTCTAACCCACAGACATCCTAAAGAAGCAAGGCCCTAAGCCAAGCCAAAAGAAACCCTGGCCCTACAGGAGCGAAACCCTAAGCAAAACCAAACCAAACCCTAAAGAAGTGAATCCCTGAGTCAAAACCACAGACATCCTAAAGAACTGAAGCCCTCAGTGAAACCGAAAGACATCCTAAAGCAGCAAAGCCCTCAAACCAACCCCCCTGAAGAAGTGAAGCCCTAAGTGAAACCCAAGACATCCTAAAGGAGCCCTCACGTGAAGGCCTAAGTCCAACCCAAAGACATCCTAAAGAAGCAAAAGAAAACCTCAAGCTAAGCAAAAAAACACAGATCCTCAAGAAGTGAAGCCCTGAGTCAAATCCAAAGACATCCTCAAGAAGTGAAGCCCTAAGCTAAGACCAAAGAAACCCTAAAGGAGCCAGGCCCGAAGCAAAACCAAAAGAGACCCCAAAGAAGTGAAGGCTTATCCGACCCAAAGACATCCTAGAGACGCAAAGCCGGAAGCCCAACCACATGAAACCCTAAAGGAGTGAAGCCTGAAGCAAAACAAAAAGACTAAATAAGTGAAGCCCTAAGCCCCTCTCCACTGAAGCCCTAATGCCAACCCAAAAACATCCTAAAGAAGCAAGCCCCTAAGGCAAACCAAACGAAACCCTAAAAGAGCGAAGCCCGGAGCAAAACCAAAAGAGACCCTAAAGAAGTGAAGCTCCCAGTCTGCCCCAAAGCACGTAATTACCACGACCATGTGCACAAAACACAAAATGTTGAGCAAGAGATGCTGTTGAATTTGTGCCAAAGACATCCTAAAGAAGTGAAGCGATAAGGCAGGCCAAAAGAGACCCTCAAGAAGTGAAGCTCTAAGTCACAACCAAAGACATCCTAAAACAGCAAAGTCCTATGGCAAACCAACCAGAAACCCTAAAGAAGCGAAGCCCTAAGTGAAACCCAAGACATCCTAATGGAGGGAAGCCCTAAGCAAAACCAAACCAGGCCCTAAAGAAGTGAATCCCTGAGTCAAACCCAAAGACATCCTAAAGAAGTGAAGCCCTAAGTGAAACGAAAGACATCCTAAAGCAGCAAAGCCCTAAGCCCAACCAACCAGAGACCCTAAAGAAGTGAAGCCCTAAGTGAAACCCAGGACATCCTAAAGGAGCCCTCACGTGAAGGCCTAATTCCAGCACAAAAACATCCTAAAGAAGCAAAAGAAAACCTAAAGGAGCGAAACCCTAAGAAAAACAAAAACAGATCCTCGAGAAGTGAAGCCCTGAGTCAAACCCAAAGACATCCTGAAGAAGTGAAGCCCGAAGCAAAGACTAAAGAAACCGTAAAGCCGAAGCCCGAAGCAAAACCAAAAGAGACCCTAAAGAAGTGCAGGCTTATCCATCCGACCCAAAGACGTCCTAAAGATGCAAAGTCCTAAGCCCAACCACATGAAACCCTAAAGGAGTGAAGCCTGAAGCAAAACCCAAAAAAACTAAAGAAGTGAAGGCCTAAGCCCCTCTCCATTGAAGCCCTAAGTCCAACCCAAAAACATCCTAAAGAAGCAAGCCCCTAAGGCAAACCAAGAGAAACCGTAAAAGAGCGAAGCCCGGAGCAAAACCAAAAGAGACCCTAAAGAAGTGAAGCTCCCAGTCTGCCCCAAAGCACTTTATTACCACGACCATGTGCACAAAAAACAAAAGGTTGAGCAAGAGATGCCGTTGAATTTGTGCTTTTGGAGATTGTGTGCAGCCGGAACTGCCCCGCGTCAGCGATCGTCGTACATTGTTTTGCATTGTTCCGCAGACATGCGCCGGATCAGTTTTCCAGCTTAGTACAGACAAATTTCACTCCAGAGTGGTTGCCAGTCCGTCACTTTTGAAGGAAGTCTCGCACAAAACGCTCCTTCTGGAGACTTCCGCGGCTCACTTTTGAAGGAAGTCTCGCACAAAACGCTCGTTCTGGAGACTTCCGCGACTCACTTTCAGAGGAAGTCTCGTACGATACGCTCGTTCTGGAGACTTCCACGGCTCCCCTTTGAAAGAAGTCTCGTGCGAAACGCTCTCTCTCTCTCTCTATCTCTCTCTCTCTCTCTGTCTCTCTCTCTCTAGACTTGCGCGGCTCACTTTTGAAGGGAGTGTCGTACAAAACGCTCGTTCTGGAGACTTCCGCGGCTCACTTTTGAAGGAAGTCTCGCACAAAGCGCTCGTTCTGGAGACTTCCGCGGCTCACTTTTGGAGGAAGTCTCGTACGATACGCTCGTTCTGGAGACTTCCGCGGCTCACTTTTGGAGGAAGTCTCGTACGAAACGCTCATTTTCACTACTAGTAGCAAATGCTACCTTCGAAGCACTACCGAATGATGCGTGTTCCAAAATGAGCCGCGAAATTGGTCTCACGCTGCAGTCCCGGAGAGTTTTCCTTCGTCTGGGCTCCAAAATGAGCCAGTTTCCAAAATGAGCCGTTTCTAGGTTCCAAAATGAGCCGTGTACCGTTTCAACAGGGTGCTCCAGTTCATGAGTCGTGTTCTTCACTCACGTCGCCACATTTCCTCCAAAGCAGAACGCTGCTTTGTCACAGGCAGCTGTGAGGCACATCTCTCCTTCAGATTATGATGGATGCCAGCAGGCATGTGCTTCAGACCCAGAATGCAAGTTCTATTTGCTTGGAAAGACGGCTCAGGCTTGCACTTTGTTCCGGCATTGCAACTACATACAGGATGTTGGCTTGGAAATTGAGAATAGCTTGTACGGTATACCACCCAAGAACTCTTCTTTCTGCCGCATCGCAAATCCGGAACAATGTTGGCAAGATGTCAAGAGACGGAGCATGCTAAGTCTTACACCCTCAGACATGCCAAAGTGCCTTTTCCAAGAGCAGTTTGATGCCTGTGATGCACTTCAGTTACTTCTTGGGAAAGAAGATGGCGCATGTGCTCGTTGCCAATACATCAATACGGATCAATTTGGTCCGTCGTCTTCGACATCGAACACCGTCTCTTTGGGTATGAGCAAAGTGCCGCTTCCGGAGACTTTCCTTTCCGCTTCGCAGGTCACCATCTCTTGCAGCGACACCTCCAGAATCTTTGCGAGTCACGACGACGGTTTGAAGTGGGAAGGCCCTCGCCAAACTCCAGTGACCTTTACATGTGTCAGCGGTGTATGGATTGGCGAACCTGGTGCCTGGCAAGACCTGTCAAACTTCACGTGTTGAGCTCAGAAGGTGAAACACGTGAAGCTCAAGCGAGCAATTGCAAGCAAGTTCACCAGCACGGTTTGTTGTAGTGGCTTCGCATTTTGCAGCCCTGCTCGAATGAGGCAAACTAGTCCTTCTCCAAGTTTACTAGGGATTGCTCATGATTCCTCAATCTTCCGAAAATGCCCAAGAGCTTGCTTTTGAGTCACATAATAGTAAACAATCGAACCTAGACTAGTTCACACTGGCTTTGTTTGCTGTTCCAACACTTGGGGCTTGACCCAAAACAAAGCAGCCTAAAGAGGTGGTTTTAATGTTTTTTGGCTGTCCTTTTCACATTCTTGAGGAGGTTGGTTTGGTGTTTGCCATGCACTTGTGCGCTTTCTTTTCGTGTAGAGCTTGGCACATTCTATTGGACATGTTCGTGCCGTGTGTTACAAAGGCAAAAAGGGTGAAAAGGCATCAGAGGTGTTCAGATGCTTTCACGAAGATCGGGGTGCAATACGCTGCAGTACATTTAGAATCATTTACATTTGACATAAAGACACAAGTGACACACACTCACAATCTTGTGAAAGTGGTTTTCTGCACTGCTCACGGAAAACCATAAACGGAACGGCGCGAACTCCGCAATTCAATGGAGTCAGGTGCCAGAGATGTCTCCAAGTTGGTAGCTCAAACCTTCAGCGATTATCGCTCGTGTCAATGCCAGAAGTATACTTCCTGGAGCATCGGCGCCTTGGACGAAACCCCTGAAGATCTGCACAAAGAAAAGTCACTAAACCCGCAATCTCACCCTGGTATCATTTGTGTGCCTTAGTTCCTCTATGGGTCCAGTCGGCATTGCAACAACAGCCCGTTTAGATTTGGGAGTCTCAAATGCACTTTGTTTTGTTCTCATTGTGTTTATCGTAATTTTGGTGCGCAAGACAAGATGCCTGCGTTGCACTAAGGCAGGTGCATATCACATATCCCTTTGCCACTGTCGGCTGCTCCAGAGCTGGTGCCCTTACGGCGGCTCCACTGCTTTCGCTCGGTGCCGAGATGTACATTAATGTGGTGAACGCGGAGGACGGTTTGCACCTGGAACTACGAGTTTGGAATTGGAAAGCTTTGCTGTTATAGGAAAGTGCATCTTGGGAGTCTGGAAGTGGGATTTGATCTTGGGGAAGGCATGACACTTTGCCCATTTGGTGCAGGACCCAAGGTTGACGGTGTCCTTGACCGAACGAGAGACACTTTGGTGGATTGACACTGCTACAGAACGACTCCGTGTCAAAGCCAATGTGTTGGATTCATCACGACAGTGGTGTGTTTGTGCGGATCCTCCTTTGCGCCCATGTTGGTGCCCAGGCTCAGAGTCCTCGGAGTCCTCCTTGAAAGAGGGCGATTCCCAGTTCCTGGTGGTTGAGCGAGGCTTGCTCAAGGGACCCCAGGAAATCCAGAGGAAGTGCGTTCGGGTGGAACAGAAGGATGAAGATACTCGTTTGACTTTGGCCGATTGCCCTACAAAGCCAGATGTGGAGCAGCTTAGCTGAGAAGGTTGAGGACACGTGTGAATCAGTGCTTTCATGCGCTCCAAAAGTGGTATTGGTTTATATATTCTGTAAATCCATTCATGATTTATCATGACAGGTTTTTTGTTTGTAACATGTGGGCTCAAGGTTCAGTTGGAGAACTTTTTGCTTCGGTTGCAGATGGAGGGTGGGGCTTGCCCCACCGATGCAGCCGAAGCCGCGGATTTGCTCAATGGTTTGGCCGAGCGAGGCCTGGTCGGAAAGAGGTTGGCTGTCAGCCTCGGGAGCGAAGCGAGTTTGGCCCCTCAGCTCGCTGATGGGATGGGCATTGAAAGGAAGGCCTGGCATTTGTCATTTGTGCAAGGCCAAGTGATGTCGGCGGTCATGATGGAGGACCTTGAATCGAGGGCGGACGGCGCTTCGAGCTCAATGCAGAGCATCAGAGACACTCAACTGGCTGGCAACCGGAAGGTGGCGCAAACTATGGCACCGACTGAGCCTGAAGTGATAGTACCTCCGAAACCCAAGAGAGGCATGTTGGGGAAGAGTGTAAGGCTGCTGAGTGGCCGCATCGTGATGGAAGAGGAGGTGAGTGACAAGATTGTCGAGCAGCTGGTCAAGGAGTTGCTGGAAGAAGTTGAGAAGGCAGTGAATCCTTCCAGGGCAACAGTGGCCCTATTGTGAAAATACCGAATTTCCACAGTGAAGAGATATCTCGGGTACTGGCAGAAGTTTAGACGTTGGGCCGAGATGACATCTAAGCCTGGGAGCAGGCCGTCAGCAATGCAGTGGGTAGACTATCTGCACGCCCGTGAGGAGGAAGGGATCATCTGTGCCGCTTGCAGTGAGCTCAGCAGTGACGTGGTTCCAGAAGACCGCAGGTGTCAGGGATGACGAGGTCTTCATGAACCAGCACTTCCCTAGTATGGTAGTGAAGGAGCCCACGAGGAGGCTAGAGGCGAATGCCCCTGCACCGAGTGGCCCAGCTGCTTTTTTGCCCCAATGGAGACCATTGTGGTAGACGAGGCAATGCCATTGCAGATGAGGATCTGTGCGTGGTTCAAGCTGTTGAAGATGTGGGCATCTCTTCGGTTTGATGATGCAGCGCACCTCCGAACTGCTGATTTGAGATGATATGATGGCACATTGCAGGGGTTGATGAGGCAGACCAAAACCACCGGTGCTGGAAAACGAGTGCGTGAGCTGCCGATCTTTGTCAGCGCAACGTCATACGTCCTGCATGGAGAGTGGATTGAAACAGGCTTCCATCTTGTTAAGCTGAAGCTGCCATGGGGCCGGGAGTTTGTGTTCCCACAGGGCGTATTCTATGGAGGCAGGATCGGGTTGGTGCCTGTGACTTATGCGGAGGCATTTGCAGGGAGCCAAGAAGTCATGAAGGGCCTGGAATCCTATGAGCAGAACCTCATCCCTTCGGGGTGGGAAAGATTCTGAACCGAGCATTCGGAACGAGCCACTCTGGCCAGTGGTCTGTGTGGCCAAGGAGGACAGGGAACCCAGAGCGTTCAGATGTCTATGTGCGTACTGTAGCGCGGGAGCGCTTCGGAAAGGCGGCGGGGGGGGAGAAAGCCTATGAGGAGGCTCAATCCTGGAGTAGTCGGACGGTCCCTGAACACAAGGCTGATTCAGTGGAGGCCTGGAGGTCCGGCTGGGGCGTGATGAGCAGATCATAGTCTCCGAGGAAGGCACGACTTTGTATGGTGGAAGCTCTGAGGAAGTCGAGAAGGAGGCCCCTGAGAAGAAGCGGAAGCTGGCAGACAATCTCGGTGAGGACAGAGTGGGGAAATACGTGGTCGTGTATAGGCGAGCTGGACATGGCACCCTACACATGCTAGGGGACGGAAGCTGTTGGATGGCCAGGCGGAGGACCTTCCAAAAATCGGAGGTCCATGAACAGCTGCCAGAGCCAGGGCAGTACTCAGTGCGGTGCAAGCTGCGCTGGGGCAAGCTGGGAGAGCCCCTCAGCGAGTCCACAAGCGACTCGAACGACGATCTGGACTTGAGCGATTGAAAAGATTTCGATCGTTTGAGAAGAGAAGGATGGGAAAAAGGGGCCGTCCAAACGTCGACGTTTGGAGGGCCCCTTTTTCGGAAGAAACGTTCCTGTGCGGTTCGGGGAGGCAGTGCCATCCACACTCAGTGCAAGCTGCATTGGGGAGGTAGGGAGCCATTGGTCCGCCACGGCCAGGATAGCCTGCCGGGCAGCGCCCCCAGCGGGAGCCCCGTTCAAATTGCAGGCGAGGGCAGCGCTTTGAGAGTCAGCTTGCATTGCGTGTAAGTGAGGGCATGGTCATGCGACTCTTGAGCATTGACGTTAAGATTACGTGGAGTTGGACAACCAGAAGATCTTGTTTCGTTCTGGTTTGACGACGTTGGAGAACTTATCAAACTTTGCCAAGGACAAGGACGACCTGAGGAGCACTGGGGCATTGACCAAGAGAGGACCTGGCGGAGAGGGTGCAGGTGGCGGCGATCTATGTGAACGCAGAGACAAGGGGGTCCAGCGTGCAGCGGAAGTGGATGCAGAGTATGACGCGCAACAATGGACGAAACCAATTGTGGCCGGAGAATGGTCGGCGATGAGGACTGCCCATGGAGAAGAGGTATGGCATGATTGAGGACAAGATCACACCGGCTAAGGAGGTGGTTGAAAAGAAGTTGGCCGAGGTTGCGCGAAGGATTCAGATGGGCAGACGTTTGCCAGTCCGCCCTGGAGCCTTGTCCTGTCGTATGAGAAGGCTATCAGGGAGGAAATGGTGACAAGCCACTTGTGGTCGCATTGAAGTCGGCATGGAAGGATGGAACAGCGAAGGAGAGACACTTCACGGCCCCGCTGGCTTTGTACGCGAAGAGACCACTGCCACCTTGCAGAGAGCAGCCTCAGCCAAAGTGGCAGCAGCGGGTGAAGGGCGACAAGGGCAAAGGGGTGGCTTGAGGAGGCGGCGAGGCGGCGGACACGAAACGTTGCCGGTGGTTTTCATTGGAAGTGACCGAGGCTAGCGCATTCGAGGGGACGAGGCCCCAAGCGGGTTATTGCAGCTTTAGAACTCATGGCAACGATCGTGGCGATCAAGCTCTGGGCGAGAGCAGAGCAGAAGTGATGGCAGAAGCATTCACTGACAACAAAGGCAACTCCTTTATTGCGAAGAAAGGCCTTTCCACAAAGTATCCTATTACCTTACTGATGGTTGAGCTGGCCGAGACGCTGAGGATGACTGATTCTTTCGCGACCCTCCCGAGGGAGGAGAATACACTTGCCGATGCCTTGACCAATCTGGAGTTCGGCTCGTTCAGCAGCGGCTTGAGAGAGAAACTTGAAGAGGGTGACATGAAGTGGAAGGTCATGGACCACCTCATGGTAAGCAGCCAAGCCCTCTTCGAAGAGATAGCAGCCCACAAGCGAGGAGGAGCAGCGCTCCCAAGTCTTCGAAGAAGACGCAGAAGTATTTCCCAAGGTGGGCCTCCTGAGTGAAGTTGGGATGATCATCCTGGGAGGAGCCCTCTCAGGGGGGACGGCAGGGAGGCCATCCGCCAAAAAGGAATTCTGCATGCTTGCAAGGGTGTTTCAGAAACATGTTCCTTATTGAAA